GACAGGCAATGAACTCACATGAGTGGGTACTCTGCCCATGTCCCCCTGGCTAAGTATCAGATGGTCAGTGAAGTCAACAGGGGACATCAGAGATCAGGGAAGAGAAGTTTCCCATGGGCTGGAATGCCAGGGACAGCTTCGGGGAGGGGGTTGAACTTGAGTTGGCCTCTTGAAGGCAGGAGCATGACTCATTTTGGAAGAGACCACTAGGTAGAAGGGGACACGTAGGCCACAGTGCTGAGCCAGGGACATGTAATAGTCTGTTCAGGGCCAATGAGCTGGCCAGAGGCAGAGGAAGATAGGAGAGACAGTGTTAGGAGACGGGGCTGGAGAGCCCAGTGCCTGCTTAGAAGTGTGGATTTATCACTCACAGGCTTGGGCATGAATGAAGGCTTTTGCACAGGGGGGGTGGTGTGTGCAGAGCAGGTCTAGGGAGATGGGTCCAGCAGCACCTGCTCTGTAGGGCCATGTGCCTTGACTGAGCACTAGGGGTCACCCACTTCCCACCAGAAAGCAGGATGGAAGGAAGTGACGGGGACCGCATTATCATTGTCTCCATGCAGGTGGTCGATTTCTTCCCTACTTTTTAGGAATGGAGATGGATGGAGAGCGCTGGATGGTCTAATCTCAGCCATAATTGAAATTTCAGTTGCACACACTTAAAAGCAAACTTGCATGAATCGATAGCATATTGATTTACACTACATTTATTTTCCCTTACACACTGCAGAAAATGTAATTATCGCTTAATTATAAAATTGCCATTTTACAATCACACAACTGACTGCCTCAGCCTGAAGCAGGAAGCCTGGGTGGTGGTCCTGCCTTGTCCAGGCACAGAGATGACCCGGGCTCCCGAAGCAAGCCCCTCCAAGAGAAAGATCTCATTAAACGTTTGTGCCTCTGGGGCCATTGCTACAAGCAGGTCTCCACTTTGAAGAGTGGGCTGAGGAGGGGCAGCTGCTCCCTTCTGCCTGTGAGGGTCTCCTCCCCACCGCAGACCCTAGGACTAGCTTCTGGAACACATCACCCCAATGAAGTGGACAGCATTAATTACTTTAAAAAGCGAGCAAAAAATCATTGTGTGCAGACTATGTACTAAGGCACATGTTAAACACCTGAGATGACATCGGGTGGAGCGAGGCTCACTGGTCTCAAGGCACTTGGAGTCGAGTGAGGAATAGCAACCAGTAAATGAGCCACAGCCCCATGGGGTGTGAGTGGTGTAGACACTCTGGGGACTCAAAGGAGAGGGCCAGCAAGGCTCCCGGAGCGGGTGCCCTTTAGCAGGAAAGGTGGGTAAGAGAGAGCAGGTTACAGAACTGAGAGGGGGAGTGTTCCAGGTGGAGTGAGCATGGTGAAAGCCAAGAGGTATGTATGGGGGGGGGGGTTGCAGGTAATTTTAAGGTAATGAAGATATTCGTTATTGCTGGAGTATAGAATTCAAAGGTGGCTGTGGGTGGGGAAGTCAGAAACCGGTAAAGCTATGGAGGTAGATAGAGGCCAAGGTCCTCTTTAAGGGCTATAAACTTCACCCCCAAGAGTGTTAGAGAGCCATTGATATGTTTTAACCAGGAAAATGACATCATCAGGTTTATGTTTAGCAAGATCATTCTGGTGGCAGTGTGGTTGGAGAATGATAGGAGAGTGGGCAGGACTGAGTTCAGGGAGACCAGTTGGATGTCCCAGAGGGAGGTGAGGGTGTCTGATCTAGGATAGCAGCGGCAGGAGTGGGAACAAGTGGACAGCTTTGGGAGGGGTTTAGGAGATGAAATCAATAAATGAGTAATATTTGGCAATCGTTTGGACGTGGGGGCTGTGAGAGAGAGCAATGTCTCATGTCCTCACTTGGGCAACAGGAAGAGGCAGAGGATGGGCATAGTTTGGGACAGGTTGATTGGGGGCCACTATGGGACTACGTGGACATATGGAACAGACTATAGCATAGATCCATCTAGGGCTCAGAAGGAAGATCAGGCTGGGGACAGGTGTTCGGAAGCCATCAGCACATGGAGAATGACTGGAAACTGTCCCTAGGTAGAATGACACTCATCACCTGCTCCTCATGAACTAACAGTGGGCTGTGCAGAGGGCCCCTGTTGGGCCACATGTGATTGAGGTGAAACGTTCTGGGAAATTTCACCCTGTGGTCTGTGTCTCCATGCTCAGGTCTCAGGAGTGGCAGGAAGCTGGTGACCAGTGGAAAAGCCTCCTGTATGAGAACAAAGACAACGGCGAGTTTTGGTATTTACTCTTCTTTAAAAATGATGTTTTAACTATTGCCCAACCCCTCAATCCCTACCTTTTCCCCTAAACTTTTGTGATGATGGAAATTAGCCTTGCATAGACCTGTTTAGAGCGAGCCTATTTTCTCTACCAAGACACAAAAAAACTTTGGATGGGAAATTATTGTGTGCTGCCTCTGTGTGAAACTTATTGCAGCTATGAAATATTGGCCTTCCCAGGACATTTTAATGGCAAAAGGTTTGAAATCAAGAATTTCCTGGAAACTAAGATGCATGGCTGTCAGGCCTGTGTCTTCTGTGCCATCTCGTTGGGACCCGGAGCTGCACAGTGTCCCCTGGCGTGACCTCCATTAGAGCAGCAGGACACTCATCCCCAGCCCTGGCTCTGGACTCGGGTGAGACTTCGGGTTCATCACCCAGAAGTCATGCGGACTTGACGTTTAAAAACACGTAATCAGCCATAGGCTCACGTCTTAGAGGATGAGATAGACATTTCTCAGAGGAGTTGTCTGGTTTATGTAGTGACATATTTAAACGAAATTTAGCATGCATGAAAGGGAGCCTGGGTCTAAGTAATTAAGAATCAGAGGGACAAATGGAAATCAGAAGGAAATTTAGAGGATGAGATAGACATTTCTCAGAGGAGTTGTCTGGTTTATGTAGTGACATATTTAAATGAAATTTAGCATGCGTGAAAGGGAGCCTGGGTCTAAGTAATTAAGAATCAGAGAGACAAATGTAAATCAGAAGGAAACGTACTCCCAGTATCTTCACTTTAATCATAGGACGAGGTGGGACTGTAGGTGTGGAATCATTTCATTCTGATAAAGACCTCAACTACGAGTTTGGCAAGAGCCTTCAGGAAAGGTGATTTTCCCAGCCCCGAGGAGGACCCGTAGCGGGAAGAGATGGGTAAACGTCCCGCTGGCCAGGAGAGGGTTCACAAGTGGGTCGATGTGTAGAGGAGGTGGTGGTTAATGGTAAAGCTCCTGCCAGGTGACAAGCAAACCCAGAATTTGGCTGTGTCCTTGACCGCCACCACTGGAGGGAGAGGGACTGAAAAAGCAGAAGGGTGCTTGACAGACAGTGAATGAGCCAGAATCAGCCTTTGGGCAGGACGGTGCTGAGTCGATGAGACTTTAGCTGACACTGAAAAGGCACACTGGAGTGAAGGGCACCCCCACCCCAGGGACAAAACCTTTGGTCATTTAGTGATGTGTATCTGTTTTTTATAGGATGTCATGTCAAGACTTCGAAGAGAACTTCTCCTGCCTGTTTATATGTAACCAAACTCCAATCACGCTGGATCGTGGGAACAGGCCCCATGAAAGATGGTCCCAAATGGTGTTTAAGAACCAAGTGGTCCTAGGAACCGCTGCAGGTAGTCATGGCATTGATACTCATTCTCGAAGCTGTCAGCCCTAGCCCTGTGCTGGCTTCAGCTGTCTCTGGCCTGAAGCTGAAAGGACAGGAATTTGTCCCCTAAAGGGACAGCTACTACTTCTGCAAGGAAAATGACTGCTGGTGGGGGGCAGGCAGGTCCTTTCTGGTCTAGCACTGTCCTTCTCACCTCCACCCCTGCTGGAGTAGAGCGGGCTCACTGCTCTTCAGTAAATATGTGGGACGGTGGAGGGCTGTGGAAAGGACACGGGACAAGAGTCAGGGCCTAGGTGAAACCACTGTCTTTGCCACATACTAGCTTTGTGATGCTGGGAATATAGCTAGTCTCTCTGTCCTCAGCCTCCCCAACTGTAAACATGGAATTAGTAATTCCACCTGCTCCTCGAACCCACAAAGCACTAGCCAGACACAAGGGAGCTCCTGCCCTGTACTGGTTGGTGTATCCTGCAGCGGCATGCTGAGATCCCAGACGTGGGTGTGTCTGAGTCTGTATTGGGTCTCCCCTGAGATGAATCTTGTTGATTCTGACCTTGGGAGAGTCATATTCCCTCAATGTACCTCCTGGCCCCCGTCTGTGACATTGGTGAGTGAAACAGCTCCCTGTGGAATCTAATCTAAGTGTGCTTATACATCCTTGATTAAAGAGGCTATAAACAACGTATTTGTGGGTGTGTGTGTGTGAGAGTGTTATGTGTATGTGTTTGCACCCAAATGTGTGCATTCCCTCTCCTGGGCACCTGCCTGTTGGAAATGGTTTGTTTGAAGGGCTCCATACCCCCGGTGTCCTTCCTGTCAGCCTCCAGGCTGTTTACTCTGCTGCTCAGAGAACCTCCTCACCAGGAGGCCAAGGGCAGACTCAGGAAAGGCTGAGTCATTCTTAAGCAGCAAACTTGCTCATTCACTTACCTGAGCTGCACCTGTCTGACTCTAGGGCCAAAGTCCTCTCTCCTGGATATAACGCATGCCAATGAACACACTATAATTGTTCACTGGGGCCATTTTTAGTAATGCCTCACAAGGGAGGGAGGGAGGGGAGCCCACGATGGAGTGCTTTAATGCATTGTTATATTCAGTCCTCATGGAAAGCCTGTGACTGTGGTGGTCCTGAGTCTCCCCAGTCCCTTTGCAGAGCTCCCGCGTTGTGACCCAGACTTTCTGGTGTGTATTCATTCATCTCTGTCTTGACTTATCTTCATTCATACATGCATTTGAATCTGATAGTTTCCACATTAATTCTCTCTCTCTTGCTCTGGCTTCGGTGCACAAGCTTGGGTAGAAGAGAACCTGAGTTGCCATCTGTCTACCTACTTTCCTCCATCTCCACTGGTGCTTGGGCAACTGATGCCATTGCAAGGCTCTGATGGTTAACACCAATGCATAAGCTCACACACATCTAGAGACTCTGGAATTTCACTTATTCTGAAAACAGCCATTGACTCTACAGTTTAAAAAATATTGTCACCAAGTGGGAAACTATACTCCCCCTCCCTGTTTTTAAGAGGAGGAGACTAAGGCTTCGAAAATGAAGAAACTTGCATCACAATTAGTAACTCTGGGGGTTGGGACCCAGGCCTTAGATCTCCAAATCCAGAGTTTAAAGCACAATCCGCAGGGTTCTCCAAACTGGATGTGGCCAACTGGGAGTCCCAGGAGTGGAGCTGAGCTCCAGTAACAGCTCTTTCTCATGCAGGTGGACCTCGGAGGGACACTCAGTACCGCTTCTCTGTGCAAGAGCACATGGAAGGCAACAACGTTGTTGTGTCCTTCACCATCATGCCACAAAGTTTGAGGGCAGAAGATGAGAAATTTCCACTAAACTTCCAGGTGTTCAAGGTAAGGCAGCCTACATCAGGGCTTGCTGTTTTGGGACATTTGCATACCTTGGGCTACGGAGAGCAGCCAACCAGCCTGGAAGATCTGACTGCATGATTGCCTTGGAGACCAAGCCCAAAGGGGCTATAGTGTTTATCTGGTCCAACTCTAAATTTGCAAGAAAACCTGAGACTGGACAGATTAGACTTGTCCACGTTTACAACAGGACACACCTCCTGCTGTGTCACTTGCCAGCATTTCCTGGTATGCTGTGGAATCTAATGCTTGTTACTCAACAAGTGGTTTGGTCCAAGACCAGCTGTAGTTACCATGAAGATTCCTGGGCCCACCCCAGACCTTCTTAATCAGAATCTCTAAGGACTGAGCCTGCATTTTAACAGGCTCCGCAGAGGCTTCTTATGCACATTAAAGTTTGAGAATCATCGGCTAAATTTTGAGAGGAGTTTAAATAAAAACAAAACAAAACAACCCTGGGTATAAGTCCAGGAGATGTGTTTTTCTCTTATGTTCAGGCCAAAGCCCAGTCATAGCTTGGTGTTTGTCATGGAAGCATCTGCTTGGCTACTCATCCAGGGCTGGATTTTCCCCTCAACCAAGGCTCCCTTCTCCCTTCATGGCATTCCCAGCCAGCTTCTCAGCTCTGAAGGGCCAAGCCTCCTCTTCTCCCCGACCCCCCTCCATGCCATCAAACACAGCTATGAGCAGGTAATCAAGGAATTCGTTTTCTGAAATACCATTTCTTTTCACAAAAGAAAAACTGATACCTCTACTCCCTCCTTCTCCCCTAAACATTTCAATGCATCTCAAAGAGAAAGTGGCTGATTCTCACATAGTTCACCCCACAGCTTCTCTGCTGCAGATGATCAAAGTCATGTACCCATCAAATGCTGGTATCCTTTCTCCTCATATTGGAGATGAGAAACTAAGGCTCAGGGAGGTGAAGTGACATGGTCAGAGTTAATGGCAAAGCTGGGACTGGGCACCAGATGTCCACTAAGCCTTCAGTCAAACACACTGGCCACCTTTGTGGGCACTAGGCTGGAGCTTTGATTACAGCATCTCTGGGAATGATTTCAGTTTCTGCTCATTCTCAGCTTCAGGTCTTAGCCCATTTATAGATGGGCAGGCTCCTGGGAACTCTGCTCATGGCTGAACACTCCTGTGCACTGTCTGGGTCATGCTAGTAAGAGGCCTCACATGCTATCGCAGTTTAGAGTTACAAGTGTGTGCACATTCACTGTCTCAAAAACCCAATCGATCCCCCTTTTTATAGATGTGAAAGCCAAAGCTAGAGAGTGAATGACCTTCCCAAGGTACAGCTAGGAAGTGAGGGGGAGTGTTTGATCCCAGGACTGTGGCCCCGGGTCCAGGGCTCTCAGCAGGGAGAGAGTGTTTTTCTGTGATTTTCATGGCTCCTAGAAAAAACAAAGCTTCTGGCTCTAGAAGCAGGGGAGCCCTTTGGGTTCTACTTTCTCTGAGCACATTTCCACTTCCCAACTGCATGAATTCAATGGAAAAGAAATTGTTGGGTTTAGCACAACACATTTGAGGTGCCTCAAACCCACCAAGGCTACCCGAGAACATCTCCTAAGGATGCTGTAGTGGACATTTGTCATTTTCATTACCAGTTAGCACTGGAACACCCTCTCCACTTCGGGGGAATTGTGATGGGAGGCAGGGCCCAGCTCCCACTGCAGCAGCTGAAGAAGCCAAATATTCCCTCTCAGCAGCCCTTGGATGCAAAAGAGGTGTGTCCTGTTAGACACTCCTCTCATCTCTGCAGCACCGTCACCACCAGCACACGCACATGCACACGCACACACATGCACACACTCTCAGTCACTTGGAGCTTTGACTCCTGAGGAAGTAACTAAGAGATAGAATTATTTACAGGATTATTTGCAGCAAATCTTTGAGCCCAGCAGTAGCAGTGCTGGGAGGTTCCTATGGTGGTGTCTGGTTGTGTCACTGTCTTGTCTGGCTCCTGCCCATCAAGATGCATTTTCCAGACACTCCATGGACTCTGTGAGCTATCATCCCAATAAAATGCCTTTCAGCCTACCCAGCCTGGGTTAGTTTCCATTGTTTTCAGCCAAGACTCCCTGCTAATTTGGGTGTCTTCTAAAGGGATCCTCATCCTCAGATTCCCCCGCCTCTCACCTCTGAGAAAAAAAAGGCTGGAGCCAGAGGGAAGGATTTGGGAAAGCCTGAGAAGGAATTGAGGTGCCTGGTCTCCCCTGCCAGGATTGGACAGGTCAAGCACCAGGCAGGCCTACTACAAATACCTCAGCCAACTCTTCCTTTTCCTGATGTGAGACAGAAGCCCAGAGAGGGTCTCAGGACTGCCCCACTGCACAGCACCTGCAGCTGCTGTCACATTGTAGTCTGTGAGCCTGGCATCCCATAGCCATGCAATACAGCCACCTTGTATAAATTGATTTGCCCAAAGTCTTTATAGTTCAGGAACCCTAGCAAGGTTGTAATCATACTAATTTTTTAAATGCAATCAAGCCCACTTCTCTACTTTTCAGCCAGAGAGGCATTATTTCTCAGTTTCCTGCTTTGCTAAAGGAGTGATCGGACCCAAGATCTCCTTGGTCTCCTTGGAGATCCCAGCAGATCTTGCAAAATCCTGATTGAGTTAAACACCAAGGAATGGTCCAGACCTTGACAACTCAAAAGACCCTTGGGCTCCTTTCACAGTTCAGCCGAGAAACAGGCTATGTACGTGGTAGCAGCCAGGCTCCTGGAAGTCTCCAGGGCTCTGATCCAAGGAATGGTCCAGACCTTGACAACTCAAAAGACCCTTGGGCTCCTTTCACAGTTCAGCCAAGAAACAGGCTATGTACGTGGTAGCAGCCAGGCTCCTGGAAGTCTCCAGGGCTCTGACGGTGTTATGGCTATAGTGCTGACCTGGCTGGTAGAGTGCTGCAGCCCTGGCATGGGCTGTGACTCCCCAATTGCTGTGGGAGCACTGCTGTGCCTACAAAGGACCAAACAACAGTGGTTATGATGAGGCAGGACAGTGGAAAAGGACAAGGTGGACAAGCCATTTCATTCTCACCCCCAAGGCTCCTCCTCAGCCTGGAACTTTCCACCTCCCTCCCAGCTCACCTCTGGCCTCCAGAGAAGCCTGCCTGGGGAAATCAAGTGGTGGCCACATGGGTGGGGCCCAGGATCAACAGTAGAAAAGAACCCAAACCCATGCCAACTGGGGCAGATAGTGACTGGTGGTGGCAGGGCTTAATGATGAAGGTGCAGCAAAGCTTGCTCCAGTGCCAACTTTGCCACTTACCCTGCTGAGCCTCAGTGTCCACGTCCATCTAAGTGGGAGACTAGTGTCTGCTTGCAGGATTAATATGAATATTCAGCACGTTACCTGGAAGTGCATTCACTGCAAACTGTAGAGTTGCTTAAAAGTGGAACTGCATCCTCAGGCATTTTTCTACTACATGGAAAGACTGGAACATGGGTATTTCCCCATTCATACACACACATACATTTCGGCAAGCATTATTGGTCCTAGAACAAATTCCCATCATATTTGCAATGATCTGATGGGATAAAAGGAGTTGCCTTCTCATTGGAGCTCCCGATGTTGGGGACTTTACACTTGATCCGGGTTCTGTCTGATCTCCAGGCCCTGTAAATAGCTCCCTTTTCCTTCCAGTGTTAACATTGTTGCCATGAATAGTAGCCACACCTTGCTGAGCTGACACAGGGAACGCCTGCTTCTCTCAGACACCTGCTTTCCTCCTCAATTTCCTTCCTCCTGCTGCTGTCTACACTGAGTAGGTTTCTTCTTCAGCAACCCCACACAGGGAAAGAACAATCATCCAGGCTCACCCCGGGTGTGCTGGGAACAGGACAACCCACAAGAAGGAATGGGGGGCCCTGGGCCAGTCTCCTGAACCTGCTTTTCTTCCTTCTCCCACAGGTCAACTCCCAGGTATGACTCCGTTGGCCCTTCCAGGCTCTCATGCCTTGGCTGCTGTCCATTGGTAAAGTGTCGCCCTCTTCCCACATGCGGGGCCTCCGTAGGGTCAGCAGCTGCACACTCAGCTTTGCTGTGTCTTATGCCCGGCACCAGCTTAGAACCTCCAAACAGGTCAACAAAGCAGGAAAGGAGGCTGGTCTAAAAGGTTGGATCTTTCAAGCTTTTTCTTGTTGAACACTCGAGAGGGGCTGCAGCTGTAAAACCATCCTCCAGAATATGGCCCCTGATACACAAGGTACTTCCAAAAACTCATGGAAAAGTAGAATTGAAAAATACAAATCTTTCCACGCACTTTTGGAAGTACCGTTGCAGAGATAAGATTGATGTTGATGCAGCTGGGTCCTTTTCATTTAAGGTGAGAGCAGCACTGGGGGGTACCTTGGGGAGGTCTTTAGCCTCCTGAATGAGTCACCCCAAGAGATAAGATTGATGTTGATGCAGCTGGGTCCTTTTCATTTAAGGTGAGAGCAGCACTGGGGGATACCTTGGGGAGGTCTTTAGCCTCCTGAATGAGTCACCCCAAGCCCACCACAAGCAGGGTGTGTGCTCTTCCAGTGCAGCTCCAAGGCACATCTTCTAGCTCCTCTTACCAGCAGCTGCTGTCCCTCCCAAACAGTCCAGTGAAAGAAGGCTTGACACTGTGAGGAAGGACGGAGAAGGACTGAGAGAGCTTGGAAAACCCACCCCTGCAGGCACTCAGACCCCTCCCATGGATGTGAGCTCTGTGGTGCCGGTGCTGCCAAGAGGAAGGCACAACTGCCTGGGGACCACAGCCAGAAGGGGGAGCAGGATGTGGCCACAGCCAACAGATGGTGTCTGTAGCACCTCCAGGCCTTTCAGGGGAGCCCAACAGACAGACAGAGGCCAGGGCAGGGAGTCTCAGAGCAGGGATACTCAGAAGTCCAGGCAGAAAGCTGACAGCAACGAGGCCTGTCTGTGACAGTGGCAGCCTGGCCACAGAGCTAGGTCCCCAGCCCCCCAGCCACGAAAGTGGAACGTTTGGAAGGGCTTCAAGGGAAGCACTCAGGTGCAAGGACAGCATTCCAATCCCCAGAGCTGGAGAACAGGGAAACTTGGAAACCTTGATGCAGGAAAAGCACCAGCACCAGCCACGAAAGTGGAACGTTTGGAAGGGCTTCAAGGGAAGCACTCAGGTGCAAGGACAGCGTTCCAATCCCCAGAGCTGGAGAACAGGGAAACTTGGAAACCTTGATGCAGGAAAAGCACCAGCGCTATCCATAGAACTACGGAGTCAGCTCCGTGCATGGCTAGCCCTGCATTAATGTGGTGCTGGTCCTCCGAGTGCTGCACCAAGACCTCCCTCACTCCCCCACACTCACACTTCTCGCTGCCACCGAGCAAGTCTGTTCTGAAGGATCAGGAGCCTGGACAGGGCTGTGAGGGTCCAATGAAGGGAGGAGGGCAGGAGAGCGGGCAAGCAGGGAGACCCTTGCCTTCTAGATTGTAGGAGGCGCGCTGCTCACACACCTCTGCCCACACGCACGTACGCGCGTACCCAGAGCCACAGGACATTGCTGACCCTCTGGAGAAGAAATGATCCCATCATTGCTTTTGCCAAGCAAGTTCCTGAACCCACTGGGGCTGCTATGAATGTCAGCAGAATAGCTTTGGGGGTTCCACCGAGCCCCCTGCTGTGCACCTGGGGCAGTGGCCTATCTCCTATCTCACCTTGGAGCCCTGCCCTGTCCCTGCCCCTTAAAAAGAAACTCTTCCCTTTCCCATGTTTTTTGCCTGAGGCAGAGCTCATAAGTAATCATTTCATGCTGTGTAACCTTTCTAAATGGAATCCACACACTCGACTGTAGTGGGGAAAATGTGTTTAGTAAGGGGTTTTTATTATGTAATATGTGTGTGACATCTGGTAATAGGGACTGCATTATATTTATTGTTGTGTCGCTAAGAAAATATTAAAATAAAATGAAAATGATCAGGGCCTATTATTGTCCAAGGAGAAGGAATCTCAGGGCTCTGCTGGAGAGCACAAACAGAGGAAGGGAAAACGATTCGATTGTGCGGTGCCGCAGCAGCCCAGGGTATTTGCTAAAGGGTCAGGAGAGAAGGAGCTTTAGGGGCCCCAAAAGAAATTTGGTGGTGAAACAGTGTCACTAGTTTCCATGGAAGTCTTCTCTAGATATAAACAGAGAGATAAATCCCAGACACCCAGGATGCTGTTAGACTTAATGAGATAAAACTTGTGTGTCATATTTCTTTGCATCCATTGTAGTGTCTAGGGTCTAGGGTCTAGACAAAATAACAATCTAATCTCTATCTTTTTTTGAGAGTTCAAGTGAGCCTTGTCTCTCTTTTCAGGGCCTGGAGTGCTGTTTTGGTGACCAGAGAGGGGTCTAGGTGGTGGGTCTCTCCTGGTGGCTGAGACCTGTGCTGGAGGGGGCTTTCTTACAGTAATCCTGTTTCTTCTAGTTCCAGCAGTTTCAGGAGAGATTGCCGCCCACGTTTTTTTCCCCATTCAGAAGTGCTGCTCAGGGTGTAGATTACGAAACCAAGTGCAACTTCACAAGGTTCCTCCATCTGAGCCCTGGGACCTATGTCGTGGTCCCCTCGGCACACGGAGAGAAAGCTGAGTTCTTGCTCCGAATCTTCCTGAAAATGCCAGACAGTGACAGGTACAGAGTCTCTGAGATTCTATTCTGGGATTTTATTCCACATAATTTTATAAAAATTCACTGTGTCCTTAGGTGTCATGCTCTGCACATTAGATGCAGCACGTACTCTGTCAGTGGGGGACACAATATGGGCCCTGCTCTTGAAAAGGCCACTGTGAAGGGGGATGAGAAGGTCTATGAACCGATACCTAGACCATAGACAGGATGGGCCACTGCTAGATGGAAATGCAAAGTCGCATGGGAGAACAGAGTGGAGGGACCCATTTCTGCCAAGGGGGACTGAGAAAGGCTCCTTGGAGGAAATGGCACTTGAGCTGGTCCTTGAAGGAAAATATAATTGAATGGTTTACAGGGGAAGGCCATGCAAGTGGAAGGAAAAAGCACGAGTGGAAGAGGGAGAACACAGGGTTTGTGGAAGAGTGAGTGACGTTGGCATATGCCCAGGAAGGTGGTATGTGGCATGTGTGTCAAATTGTTTGGACTGTAGCCAGAATGAGGGTATATCAGGGAGACAGTGAAAGATGGGCCTGAAAGATGTGGCCCAGTCATGAAGGGTCTCCGATGCTGAGTCAATAGGCCAAGACTGGGGTCAACAAGTACTTGCCTCTGAGTCCCTTATCCCCTCTTGGACCCGAGATAGACATCACTATAACCATGGCAGCCTTTACAGTCAAGAGTGGGTGAGGTCATCTCAGTCCAGCATGCCAGGCAGCTACCCTGCCACCAATTGGAGATGGAATGTAAGACAGAGCTTACCTGCCATCCTGGCAATGGTGGTCACATTACATGTGTATCTGGTTGTGAAAGGAACCATTTACTAAATGGTAAGACAGACCATGTCCACCCAAAAGGCTGGACATGTGGCCAGGGTGCTCATCTGTCTGCTGACTGCCACGGCTGCCCACTTCACATCCTGCAGTGCTGAGGACGGTCCATGCAGGTCCTTGGCATAAATGCCCAATGCCATATGGGTGCCCTCCTTTGGATAGTGAGCTGGTCACCCTTGTCACTCTGTCCCCCTGATTTTCTAGGAAACTGGGCAGCAGTTTCAGCCTCAGAACACCAAAGGTAGGTGAGCAGTGCAGTTTGGTTGGTGAGTTTCATTGGCCACATCCCATTCCCAAGAGCTTTTGTCTCCTCCTTGCCTCACGACTGACCCATGGAAACAGAGACACCATAATGGACTGATGATGGCTCAAAAGGGTCGGGGGAGAAGACCAGGCCTCCAAGGCCAGGCTGCTGGCCACATCCCATTCCCAAGAGCTTTTGTCTCCTCCTTGCCTCACGACTGACCCATGGAAACGGAGACACCATAATGGACTGATGATGGCTCAAAAGGGTCGGGGGAGAAGACCAGGCCTCCAAGGCCAGGCTGCTAACCATCTTCCTTTCGCAAACTTCAGCTTTCTCATTCCCCTAAAGGTCTTTCCAGCTGTCAGATGAAGCCTTTATCTCAGATCTAGGGAGGGGTTCTTGTGCCTTTGCTGTACAGACAGGTGGCCTCCTTCCCCAGAAGTTTAATGTGGGTTATTTTCTCTTTGATCTAGAGAAGTCTTTCAGAAAATGACTCCCAGCAAAGCATTTTCTACAGATATGCTCAGCAGGTAAGGTACCTAGCATCCAGTGGCCTTACGTAGGACAGGTGATGGAAGGACCAGAGGGAGGGACACCTCTCCCAGGCCCTTCCCAGGATGCAGAGAGGAAAAGTAACTTGAAGGGCCATTTTGTCAGCCTCTCTCCTTGGATCATCCCTAGAACTGCTCTGACTGCCAGGCTCTGAAGAGAAGTGCCCCCCGCCGCTCCCACCATCTGGGTGACATTGGATGGAATGTAGAGCTTAGAAAGGGGAGGGATAATTATGGGGCGTGCGTATGGGGTGCACCACCTTTTAAATCCTAAACAAGCAATGGGCAGTACCTCTTGAAATCCTTCCTTCTCCTGCTCGGCCACCTTCCCATTAACCTGGCATCATTCTCCCGGGAGCCGGGTGGCTTCAGAAAGCACCAACAGCGTTCTATGTGCACTACACGCACACAGGATTTTCTTAATGGCTTAATAAACTGTTATAAAGAACTCCTTGACTTGTCAGGATGAAAACAGCTGTGAAGCGCTCCGCATGATGGGACTTTTACCTTAATAATCATGTTGGTGTGGGAAGCAAAAAGTGATACAGACGATCATGCGAACCGCGCTGGCCTGGGCCAGGCAGAGGCCAAGGACAGGAAGGATGCCAGGCCCTGCCTCTGCATTTAGAGGGCTAATGGGTGGTGGCAACCTGGAGGTAGCCTGGGCCCAGGAGAAAATAAAAGGAGAAATGAAGAATGTGTGTGGAAGGAGGGGTACATCGTGCAAAGAGCAGCTGAGTATAGACCTCCATGAAATCATTATTGAGCCAGGGTGCTAGCCCACCATCTGGGCAGATTCACAAGACACTTCACCTGATGCATGACAAGGCAGGCCAAGATGATTGTCCCCAGTCTGTGGGCTCCTAAAGACAGGGATGACATCATATGCATTTCTTGTCCCCAACACCGATCACTGTCCTATGCGCAGAGGAGATGTTCAATCATTTCTCCTGAATTGAATTAAGACAGATTAGCTCCCCCAGAGCAGATGCCCACGCTACGTTTAGCTGCCCTGAGGTGGTTAGCAGAATCTAATTAGGACGCCTGAGCCCAAGCTTCCTTCAGCAGCAGGTGGCAGATTCTCACACATGGTCCATGTGCCTACAACTCTACAATAAAAATATAATTTGTTATATGATAAGAGGATACAGATTCCCTAATCAGGACTTTTCCAAACAACAGCCAAATGCCTCCTCACAGAGGGTGACTGGTGGCCCATAGGGGGCCTTTATGGGAATCGATAAGACACAGGTGCATCATTGTGCCAAGGTGCATGCTGGGAAGTGGAACAGAAACTGGATTCTAGACCCTTGTCACCTCTCCGCTGGGCACCCCAGAGCAGGTCCACCTGGCATCATCTTTCTGAACAACCTACAAGTTATCTTCAGAGGCTGTGTCTTCCAGAGAAAGTTTAAGGCAAAATATTTATCCACACACTCACCTTGTCTTCTCACCTGGTCTCTTATAGTGATTTAACTGGCTTTAAACTGATACCATGACTTGCTACCACCACTACCACTAGTTACCTTCCTTAGCCATAGTAGTGGTGATAGCACTATAACTAGGGTCTGTCTCTGGGACAGGCCAAGTCCATCTACCCGTTTATCATTTATTCAGCTGACAAACATTTATCAAGCACCCAGGACATCCCAAGCACCACGCTCAGCTTTGGGAACACCACAGCATCAGCCCTTGGCTATCTTGCATCGTGGTGGTGGAGGCAGACATGCAATTCTCTTTATCATTTATTCAGCTGACAAACATTTATCAAGCACCCAGGACATCCCAAGCACCACGCTAAGCTTTGGGAACACCACAGCATCAGCCCTTGGCTATCTTGCATCGTGGTGGTGGAGGCAGACATGCAATTCTTTGGGAATGTGTTTAGGCAACCCTCATCCCCTTTCCTGCCCTCATCTCCTCGAGCACTTTCGGATGGTGGCTGAGTGCAGGGTCCATGTCAGGGTATGTCATAGGTGGGGGATATGGACAAGAAGGAAGACATGGTCCATGCCATGAAGCTGCTTATAATTTCATGGGTGATCCTGCGTACATTGGAGATCTTCATTTACATGTCAGCTTCTGTTCAAAGGGAGGTGTCATGATTTTTTTGAAGACAAACTCGTTTGACCTTGGGCACACAGCACCTGACATAACCAAACAGTGAGAGCTGGAAGGATGACCTGAGGACCGATTTCAGATACTGGCAGGACGTTTTTCTCAGGGGGCATCCTGAGGTGTCATCCTTCTAGCTGAAGACCCCTAAGGACAGGCTGGGGGCTGCTTTTGCTTCCAGTTCTGGGTGGTGAGGCCAACCTTGTGAGATGGAAGGGGCAGTGTGTCTTTTGTTTATGAGGTGCTGGTTCTCAGAAGAACCTCAGGAGGAGCCTTCTCCCACCTGACCCAATGCCATGCTACAAAGCCACTTGCGGAAAAGCTCACTCCAGCACCAGCTCCCTGTGTAGCAGCTTTCCCAAGGTGTCACATCCTCCCCTCAGCTCTTTCCAGGCTGGATGTAAGAAATATTTGCATGCAGAACAGCTCTGCTTCTCTGTAAAATCATCACTGGAGACACTGCCCATCAAGCTGTTCAGTGCCCCCAATACAAAATCTAATGCAGCTAACTGCGGAGGGTTCAGGCCCGAAAGTTTCTCTCTCCCCTCAACCTCAATTGCTTCCTGCTTTTAATCCAAGGGAAACCATGACATCTCCCTTTTTGCTTCTATGGCTGGGAGGACTAATGCTAAGTAATGTGCTCAATTATAACAGCTTCTTTTAGCCTAGATTTCTGGTATTTTTAACTCCTATTGTTACACACGTGTACATGCGCACATGCACACACAGACTAGTCACAGTTTCTTAGTCTCTGGAAGCAGATGCGGAACACCCCCAAAGGGCTGCATTGATTCATTCAACAATACTTATCCTGAGGGGCTCCCAAGTGCCAGGTGCAGTGGCGAGGAAGCAAACACTGCTTTTAGTCCAAAATGAACAGAGAAGGAAATGCAAGGCAGCCCACACCAGGTGCCAGATGTCAGGAGTGACCAGCACTGCAGATGTGCACAGGAGAGGGTTATTGCCGTCGTTGGGAGTGGCCAGGTAAGTCTTCCTGACAAAGGCGGGAGGGGTGTTTTGTGGGGACTAAGTGCTCAGAAGTCCAAGTGCTTTTGCAGAGTCAGGCAGGTGTGCCTCTCAGGTCCCGGGCACTGACATGATTCCTGCATGCCTCCTTTGTTTGGATCAGGGGCTGGACATTGATGCCACCCAGCTTCAGAGCCTTCTCAACCAGGAGTTCCTGACAGGTATGGTCATCCCTAGGGTCTGCTGGCCCCAGCCTCATCCCCACCATCACCCATCACCACCCCCACTTAAGCCCTTCCTGTTCTCCCTCCTCAGGACCTCCAGGGGACATGTTCTCCTTGGATGAGTGCCGCGGCATTGTGGCCCTGATGGATGTATCCTTTGCAGGCATCCTTCCCCCTTCTCTAAGAGCCCATCTGCTCTGTGGGCTCCTTGGATGAGTGCCGCGGCATTGTGGCCCTGATGGATGTATCCTTTGCAGGCATCCTTCTGCCTTCTCTAAGAGCCCATCTTCTCTGTGGACTGCCCCAGAGGTCTAATAAGGACGTTAGGCGTTAGGGGCCCGTTTCTGACTCTCAGTATTTTCTCTTCCTCCTTGGTTCTAAGGGCTCACCAGGGAGCCTGGGCTTGCGTAGATTCTCTACTAACTCACAAACTCTCCAGAACAACCACAGCAACAATGACAATAATTATCAGGTATTAAGCATCTACTGTATGCCAAGAATTGTACATATATGTGTATATATATATTTCCCTTTTAATTCTTGCAACAACCCCTGTGATATAAGAAGTTTTATCCCATTATACAATGAAAGAAGCGGGGGCTCAGAGAGGTTAGGTAATTGGCCCACACCACACAGCTAGTTAGGACTTGTGCCCAGATTCAAAGTTGGAGTTTTCAGTCTCCAAAGTCTGTGTTCTAACCTCATCCTACACCATCTCCATGTGGCACCAAAAGAAACTGTTTCCCTTCTCCCCCTCCCCTTACCCCTGGAGGAGTCTCCACTATTTAAGTTTCTTACTTAAAAAGCTCTCAGTTCAATAAAGACAACAACCACCAAAACGTAGAAAACTCCTTGGTCTACACAGCAATTGCCCCATTATTGCCATTAAGCTGCATCTGCAGATGAGGAGACTGGGTTGAGGTCTTCTGGTGACCCCAGTTTCATGGCTACAGGGGCAGGACCAAGACTCAAACCCACTCTCCAGTGACCGCTTCTCCCCGTGCCCCCTGCCCCCAGCAGGCAGGAGGGCTTCCTCCAGGAGTGCACATCTGGCAGTGGCTGCCTGGCAGCTCCTCGCCAGGCCGTGCTGTCTCCAGAGAGAGACAGATCGCCCAGCTCTCACACTGTTAATGAGGCTCGATTGGGAATGAGAAGCCGGCCATTGTAGAACAAGAGGGCTTCTTGATGAAATCATAAATCAGGCCCTGTCTCTGCCGGCTGTGGATTGGAGTGGACTCCGAGACACCGCCCATCCCCCACAGGGGGATCCAAATGGTCCAGGCAGCCCCAGGGCCAGGGGCAGGTAACCGTGGGGAAGGTCATGTTGGCTGGAACCCTGCAAAGCAGGCAGGTCTTTCCTATCCTTGCTTCTGCTCACCCCTGGCTGCCCTTCCAGTTCTCAGAAGTCGATTCTTTCCCCTTCACTAGTCATCATTGGTCCCACCATGTGGAGTGGCCTAGGCTGGCTTTACTACATGGAAAGCATTCGTCCACACAGGTGCACTGAGGGCTCACATGTGCACCATCTTCGCTGCTGCTCCAGGAGCTGCAAGTCCCCCTCCAGGTCCTCCCCCCACCCCCTGCAGGGGACCCACTCCAACTGCTGAGGGCTCTCTTCCCCCAGATGCAGGTGATCTTGGCCTCCCTTCTCAGGGCTTCCTTTTCCTTCCAATTGCCCATTTTTCTTTGTAAAACAAATCTAAGCCAGGTCCCCTTCAGATGCAGCAGGAGCCAGTTGGCAGGGGGTCATGTCTAAGTGACACTGAACTGATGGGGTTACTAGTTGGTAGGTGGAGCTGCTCCCCTCTGCTTGCTGCACACTGGACTGTTTGACTCTTAACTCCCCACTCAGCTGAAAGTGGACGGGCGGCTTGACGAAGAGGAGTTCTCAAGACTGTGGAGGCGCCTCGTCCACTGCCAGGTATGGGCATGTCCTCCATGACTAGCACTCTCGTTCCATCCAGTTTAGCCCATATTTGCTGGGTGCCCAGCCCTGCGCCAGGGTTGAGGGGTATGAAAGGAGAGGAAACCTCACCCCTGCCCTCAAACAGCATGTACATCTTGTTTGGGGAGACGTGCATGTGACTCTGGCAGTGCCCAATCAAGGCAGGATAAAGAATGCTTTGGGCAGGGAGGAGAAAGGGGTCAGAGTGGACTTAGAGCCGCCCACCAGCATTCCCCCTCGCTGCTCTCCTGATCCATTGCAATGTCCCCCAGCCTGCTAGTCCGTCTCTTTCTCTGCCAATCCACCTGCCAGAGCATTGTCGAAAACACAAATGGGGTCTGTGGCCTCCCCTTTGTTCTCAAGACAAAGCCTACACGGTCAGAGCCGCACACAGACCCTCTGAATAGCGCCCTGTCTTCTGGGTCCAGGAGAAGCACTTTTTACTCGTCCATTCTCTCCTTCGGACACCAACTAC